AAAAAAAAAAAAAAAAAACTATGAGATCAATTTCATTACTCTATTTAGATTATCAACTTACAAAGATCTCATAATCATCTAAGCCTCGTCCCAACTACAATCAGGTTGGTTACATGAATTCTGTTTCACCATTCCGTTCTCTTCAATATCATATCCATCATTAAATTATGGGTGCTTAAATCATTTCTTATTACTTCCACCCTAGTCCTTTTAGGTCTGTACCTAGCTATGTTAGTCCCTTGACTCCCTTCAACATGTAACAGATCATTTTTTTTCTTACAGGTGTTGTAGATGGTCTCAACTGTTAATAGTTTACCCTTTCATTTTACTCTATGATCGATGTGTTAAATAAATAGATTGGTGTGCAGAGGAGACTTGGTGGGTTTGCTGAAAGGTTTTAGGGTGTATAGAGAGGAGGTAGTAGTTTTCTACCTGCAATTTGCTGATAAGAGTATCATTTTTTGTGAAGAGGATGGAGTGAAGCCTGAAGGGCTTTCAAAGGCTAAAGGTGATTATCAACTATTTGAAAGAACTTCAGACCTTAAAGTCAATTGGAATGAAAGTAGGTTTGTTGAAAGGTTTTAGGGTGTTAAATAGATTGGTCTGCAAAGCAGATTAGGTGGCTTTGCTGAAAGGTATTTGGGTGGATAGAGAGGAGGTTATTGCTTCCCACCTGCAATTGCAGACGATAGTATCATTTTTTATGAAGAAGATGGAGTAAAGGGTATTCGAGGGCTAAAGGTGATTATCAATTATTTAAAAGAATTTTCAGAGACTAGGCCGTGAAATTTCTCTTCTTCCCATGAGTTACCTTGGCTTGCTCATGGTCCCAGTGGAATTCTAATATCCAGTTTGTAATGGATATGGTAGGAAATTTTTAGTTTGGAGAAAGAATTGCATTTCTTCGAGAATGAGATCACATTGATTAAATCTTTTTTTTTTTCAATTTATCTAATCTATTTCTTTTTGATGACTAGGGTTGCCATAAGGTGGTGAAAAGATTAAAAAAAAAAACAAAAAGATACTATTTGGGAGTCAGGTGAACCAAAGATACTATTTGCATGTTTAAATAACAAGGCTGGAGGATTAGGATGCTGATAAGAAAAAAAAGGGGGGGGGGGGGGTGGAGGATTAGGATAGGGAAGTTGAGTGATAAAATTTTGTATTATAGGGAAAGTTGTTATAGAGATATCCCTTGGAAGAGGACAAGCTGTGCCATTTTGCCGACAAACATTGACGGAATCAGGGGTAATGGGTGGGATGCAGGTGTGAGTAGGGGTGGCTATGTTATCTTTTTCTAAGAAATATATTCGTTCTCTTTCATCCTTCTTGATATCTATCGGATATGATCTTGTAAGTGGCTCTTATTTAAGGTTCTGAGAAGAATTTTGATGGGGTAAATTCCTTTTAGCATCTCCTTTTCCTAATTTTTATGTTCTATTTTAGTTTAAATTAGGTCCAATCCAGTTGTTTCCTGTATTACTTAGTCAGATGAAGGTTTTAATTAGAGATTTGGGTTTTAGAGAGGCTTAAGAGATAACAGAATGCAAGATATTAACAATATTTTGGATTATCATCTAGTGTTTTTCTTCTCCCATTAGGTAGGGACAAAAAAGGTATGATCTGTTGATTCACGTAAGACTTTTTTCTTGTGCATCTTTTCTCTCCTCTCTTGCCACTCCATTGCATTTGGAACATCTTGTTTGAACTTGGATTCAGTCCTCACAAAATGTGCTCACGCCGTACTCAGTCACTTGCAACCATGTATTGGGAATATCTCCAGTACTTTGTTTTTATTCATGGGAGGTATTCTCAATGCACATCTGCAAGTGGCTGTGAGTACGGTGTGAGCACCGTTTTGTGAGGAGTGAGGACTGAATCAGATCTCATCTTGTTCAAGCTCTATGGCTATGTTCTACCTATAAGATTAGAGCTTTCTGTTGATAGTGGCATAACAAAATTATGACCAATGACGACTGCAAATGCAGATGGCTCCATGTAAGGAAAGTCCATTTATCAAACTTTCACTTCTTGCTCCTATGTTACTAAGATTTGGGAGTTTTTTTCACTCTGATTTTCAATGGTAGGCTCTAGCTCATACTCAGACGGTTTTTCATCTCAACATGCTTCTCTCCTACAACAGAAAGCGGAAAGATCATGTGGAGATGCACTAGAGCAGCTGTTCTTGCCTCTTGGAATGCTTTGGGAGGAAAAGGATGCTGTAGTTTTCAAAGAAAAGAACCAGCCTGAAACCTTAACAAGTATTGTGCATGTGAAAGTGGCACTAGGATTTTAGCAAAAGAGGTTTTGCAGATTTCTCAATCAATGATGTTATGGGGACTAGGCTTGAGGTTTCTAGAACTTATCAAAGGAAAGCTTTCATTAATAAAAAATGAGTACAAGGAAAGTAAGGGAGAGGTAAACTCTCTTAACCCTCCCCCAGGGAAAACAAAAAACAATTTACAACATAGCCTAGAACTTTTGTTCCTTTCCCACTCCTTGCTTAGCAAGGGTATCCACAAAGGAGTTGGCACTTCTCTTAGGCCTGTCTACCCCCTGAAATAAGTCAAAATCCCAAAAGCACACATATTTTGGGTATTGGCAGATACAGGCCAATACGGGACGGAATTTTGAACCTTGACTATATGGTCCTATTTACTCAAAAAAGGCATGTGCATAGAGTTCCTAATGTATGTTGGTGGGTTTTGAGAAAGAATTGAGTTGTACGTGTAGAGATTCACACAATCAAGTATTCACAAAGTGAATGGTATGGAAAAGGAGCACTAGTTACATGAGAAATTGGTGAAGAGACAAGTAAAGTTTCTGTTTGAAAGATGTCTATACCAGCATTTGAATCAAAACCATATTATTTAGGAATCAGTTAACCAAGCTTATTCAAGAGAAGATCCTAAAAATGAACCGATAACAAGAAAACATATACAGAGCACGAAAAAAGCATATACATGCATCGATAGCAAGAAAAAATATCGATAGCACAAAATGTACAGAGCATGAAAATGGAAAAATGAATGTATAATGTGTCTTATAGTGACCCAACTCTAACTAGCAAGAGTATTTGCTAGTGCATTAGCCGACCTGACCCAGGTGAATGAGCTATTCACTTCAGCTGAGAGGGGTTTAGCTTCTCTAATATGACGCTGCCTCCACCAAGGCCCTTCCTTCTCTCTTCTCATCCCACTAATTACCAATTGTGAATCTCCTGTTTCAAACCTCTGTAACTTCAATGCAAACATTGCCTCAATCTCTGGAGTAAGGCTAGTATCTAATCCATGGTAACAGTCCCATGGGAAACTGGACCTGTGTACCTGTGGAGGATCTTTCCTAATGCATTTTGTTCATAAAACTTAAGGATTAATCTTTCATGGAGCTGAGTGTCAGGCAATCAAGAAACAAAACATCCATCAAATAGGCATAATGGAGATAAGGATGTTGAGATGGACGACTATTAATACCAGAAAGGTTAAAATTAGAAATGAATATATATTGAAAGAACTTGGGCTCATACTAATTAGTGTCAAGATAAGACAAAGTAGATTGAGATGGTTTGGTCATGTAAAATAAAAACCAACTAGTGCAACACTGAGAATAAGTTATCAGGTGCTAGTTGAAAAATCTAATAGGAAAAGAAGGCTAAAAAAGAACATCGACCAGGTAATGAAAAAAATTACAACTCGTTTTATACCTTAAATTAAGAAGATGTAATGGCAATGACATATCAACACATATTTATTGGTGGTCCATGTATTGGCGACACAAATACTATATGGTATATGATATGATAGTCACTGCTGGAAAAACTGGTTTAAATCAAATGGATAACCATATTGTCAAGAATTTCTTTTTCTATCATTGAAGAAGCATTTAATTGTCTAATTTTCAACTCTGGTTCTAGAGAAACACGTTAAAATCCCAATGTTATACTGACATCAGCAATACAAAACTAGATAGTCAGAGAAAATAATAACCAGATACTTAGAGAAGCATAATGATTACCAATCAAGATCTGGAAAATCAAACCTATGGCCTATATCAATTAATATATTTTAGGGTATGCCAGTTAGCTCTATAATCTATCGATACCAATCTCAGCCAATTAGTATCCCATCACCATAACTGTTAACTTTCTTGTCAGATGAAGCACTATGAACCATTGTCTTATTCGTCCTCAGACTCCACTTCGGTGTCTGATGTATCCTCGTCATATAATTCATCACCCGTCTCAACCTCTTCCTCATCTGATTCTTGTTGTTCCATCCCATTCTCTCCATCATTAATCATGCCATCTTTTTCTGGTAACAGTGCCACGCCTTTACCTCGATAAAGAACACCCGTCTTCATGACGTAGTAATACTTTTCTCTGATTTGGGCAAGGGGATGGGGATCCACCAACTTCCCTCGCCGGTACCCTTCCTTGAGTGCCACAGTTGTCGTTTTACATTTCAAAGAGAGGTAGAAAATCCCTGGGTACCTCGTAAAAATCCTAGTAAACTTGTGAGGCAGATTCAATTCTTCTCTCAAGCTCCTCAAATAGTTTCTCTTAGTCTTCTTGTGGATGGTTAAGCTCAAGAACTCGTGTAAAACCCCAACAACCCGCTTCTCCATTAGGTCACTATTGGGATCGATCTGAGTAGAGTCCTCATAGGGGGATATGTAAGGCAGTTTGTGAAAATCCTCCATCCAAGCCTTAACCTTCTTCTGTGCACCATAACCCCTTGGAAAATTCATCGGGAACGTCAGTGCTGCTCTTCCCCTCTTAAATTGCTGGTACCCATCACCGAGTTCGGAATTCTCGTTGCTTTTCTGCAATGCAGAGACGGCGAATTCTTCCCTCCATTGAGCAAGGCTCAAACACGAAAGCCCGCTCTGCGACTTAACAACCCGAAAATGATCTGGGTATTTGGGAATTAGTATATTACCAAAATTGTCAGGTAAACCCAGATCCCATTTCAAATGATAGAGCGATTGGAAGGGGATCGCTTTGCATTTCAACATCATTAGAACTCGACAGAGCCGTTCAACGGTATCAGCCTCTCGGGCTTGGTGTATACCTTGTTCTTGGGAGTCCAAGAGAAGGGCGGTATCGGTGAGGCGAAAACAAGGAAGGTTAGCATAACGAGAGTGAGGGAATTCATGGAAGAGAGTCGGGTACCTGCGTATGAAGCGGAGGACAGGAATGGTGAGGCCAAGATGCTTTTGCCAGTCGGAGATCGTCTTGGAGGTAATGAAGCCGGTGGGCGATCGTTTGATGGCGTCTTTGAGTAGACAAACAGCTTTGAGATCGGTCTCTGTATCGATGATGTAGTCGAGGCCTCTGTTCTTCACCCATTTCAGTCTCACCTTCACTAGTCCTCGCCATTGGAGGTGCTGGTAAAGCTTGGTGGTCTGGCGTGGAGTGTGAAGTTTCAGCAGAAGGAAGAGAGCAGTTGGGTTCATGTGGGCACGCTCTGCGGTCGCCACCAGATGCGTGTTTTGATGCTATTTTCGTTCGTTTCCCTTTTCTTCCTTGTTTGAGTTTTTCCTTCGCTGATGATTTTGGGCGCATTCCATCGGAAATGGGTTCGCTACTCGGGTCGTTTTTATTGTTTTGGATATGTATTGGAAATTTTAGATATGGATATGGATATATTTTATAAATATATGGATATGAATAAAAAACATGAAAGCACTTTGATAGACTAAGAAAATGAATATTTATTTCATAAATATATTAGTAATAATAAACTTCATAAATAATGTATAAATACATAAGAATTGTATATTTTAACAGTATATATGAAAGAAATATATTATAATTAATATAACAGAATGCATAGATATTATACAATTTTATTGATATGCATTAATTAAGATTCCAAGACATGTATTATATAGATTTCTATAAATTAATACATGCACAAAGCCATTATTATCTTATTTTATATTAAAGTCCAAGGCATATATGTAACTATTATATTTCAATTATTATATCATTTTTTTCTATTTTATTACTTATAATTTTTAAGATTAACAAAAATGTCAACTGAAAATTAATTCTCAAAATTTTGGTAAATAATATTTTTATTTTTGTAAACAATAAATATGTTATTAAAATTTAAATCAAAATATTAATTGATAATTTATAAAAATAAATAATCCTAACTTAAAATATATCAAATCTATTTAAAATTTGAAGATACATATTATATGAAAATTCATAGACTTTAATTACTACAATAATTATCATTATTAATACTTTTATTTTTTATAAATGTATAAAATAAAAAAATAATTTTTTAATATAACTATAGATTAGTGGTTTGATAGATTCAATTTATATTACATTTTTAAATATTATTTTTTGTAAATAATAAATACATGGTTATTTAATGCAAATTAAAATATTGATTAATAATTTATAAAAAATTGAGATATATATCATGTACAAACTTATAAATTTTAAGTATTAAAATAACTATTCTATTATTAATATTTTTAAATTTCTTTAAATTAAAAAATCAACTTTTTGATATAAATGTGGATTTGATAGATTATTTGTTTCATTGGTTTATAAAATATTAATTTTAAATATTATTATTTTTAATTTATAATTGGAGTTGTTGAAGATAAATGTGTATGTTGGTTGTTGGAATTTTATGTAGATATTATATTATAAAACTTAATTCATTTCATTTATTGACATCAAATAAAAGTTGGTTTGGTGATTAAAGATGCAATGGCGTATCATACTGAAACCATATTACAATATAATAGTGTAGGTCGCAGCATCCCTCATGGGAAATGGAATTGCAAGATGGATTGGATTTAATCGGATTCTATTTCCAATCACATAATGGGCTTCTCATAACCGTTTAACCATAACGCTTGAAACTACGTTAAAAATAGTGTTGGACTAAGATACCGAAAAAACTTGTAAGAAATGAATTGGTATCATATAGGGCCTTTAAAAATATGATTTGTTTATTAATCGAGTACAAGAGATGTTCCCAATATGGGACTGGATGAATGTCCCTACCAATGTGTTGTGGTCAGCATATCTGAACTCATACTCATGAATTTGGTGATAAAGTCTGCCCTGAACTTTTGTATTCTATCACTTTGCCACATTTCTAGCATGTCATCAATTAACTTCATGGAATACAGTTTGGAACATTTTTAAAACTCCAATTAAACTATTATTTTGGGGGCGTTCTTTTTCTGGATTTGAAGAGGGGAGAAAGTTGGTCAATGGGATTTTGATTCCCATTGACCAAGAATCTTATGTTCTTTTTTTCAGATTTATGTGGGGATTAGGGAAAGTTTATTTTCCTGGGTATCACTTACCCGCCCGTCTCTTAGGTGGATAAATAACTTTTCCACCTTGGGGGAAAGTTGCCAATACTTGAATGGGACAAAAATATCCCTTATAATAATGGATTTTTATGACTAAAATAGTCTTTGCCTTATTTAAATGGAAAATAAAAGAATATGGGTAAATGCACTTAGATAAGTCTTTCTTGAGAAGCACTTACCTGAATAAGTGCATTTACCCAAATAAATAACTTACCGAAAAGTGAATGAGGCCTTTATATTATTTAATGAGATTATTTTAGCCTTTTAACTTCATTTTTTCAAAATCCTATTTTTCATTGGTTTCTCTCAACTTTCTTTCAACAAAGTTTGTGTTAGAGACACTTTGAGAATGATTTGTTCATCAACGCATTGAGAAGGATTAATGTTTTAGAATGGGTATTTTCATCATTTTAATATTAGTTGCCATAAGTCCATAAAATTTGAAATGCACGATTTAATAATTTTACTATCACCGTCAACCCCCATTAGTGGAATGGGTAGAGGGCGAAATGCTGGAATCTATAAGTTTGAGGGGTCTTTGTTGCAAAAAGAAAGTCTTGGGGGCTAAGTGTACCACCCCTAATAATTTACACTATATTTTTGGATTTGATTAAAATATAGCAGAATACATAGGTTATTATTTATAAAAATGTCTAAAAAATAAATATCTCACGGGTCCGTTTGGTTTTGCAGTTGGAATTGAAATCAGAATCGGAATTAGAATAGTATATTCCCATAGTCTATTTGGGTTAGACAGGAATGGAGATGGGAATTGAAATCAGCAAGAATGAGATTTTATTCCCAAGGCAGGGGCAGGGAATGCCATTCCTTCAAATGAGGGAATGCCACTCCAACAGGAATGTGAATGAGATCTCGATTCTGCCCAACCAAATAGTTGGAATCGAAATACTATTCCGATTCTAATTCCAAATCCCTATTCCTGCAAACCAAACGGGGCCTAAAATGATTTGGACCGTGGATGTTTGTCTCCAGTTATGAACTATAAATTCATAAATCACACACACACACACACATTGCAATAGGTTTGCCATTCATGTGTAAGTATATTATTTAATTTCTATAAACTATGTATATTAGGCCCTGTTTGGGTCACAGGAATAGGGGTTTGTAATCGGAATTGGAATGGGCTATTCCGATTCCAACTGTTTGGTTGGGTGGAATCGGAATCCCATTCCCATTCTTGCTGGAATGGCCATTCCCTGCCCCTTCTTTGAGAATGAAATCTCATTCTTGCTTATTCCAATTCTCATTCCCATTTCTGTCTGAACCAAACTGATTATAGGAATAGACCATTCTGATTCCGATTCTAAAAGATTTTGATTCCAATTCCGACTGCAAATCAAACGGACCCTTAATTTATAATTGTGGGTTCATCTATGTTTTGCATTAGACAAGCAGTAGCATGTTTCTCTTAGTTTATGCTTTATTTGTAGCCCATTTAATTGTAGAATTTGTTTTTTCCTATCATATATGTTTTTTAAGTATATTAAAATACATCTCTTACAATTGCCATTCCAAATAAATAAAAATAAAAATTGAATATTTTCCGAAAATGGTAACGGTTATTTGCAAAACCACGATAGGATTATACACATTGATGATTAGGGGTGCAACTTGAATTAGCCTAAATTAATATTTTACACTGTTTCAGATTTGGGCCTTGGATCTGGGCCCATTCAAATTTTGACAAAGCCCAATCCTAATCTGCTCAAATTGCACCCGTATTGATGATCTATACGATCGAGATTCGAGAGGGTTACTATTGGATGGTCACTTTGGATTTGCTACAGAAGTAGAAGCAGGTCAAAAGGATGTTGGGGATTTATTTTTTCAAACAAAAAGGACATGGGTTGAAGTACTGATATGATTTAAGGGCCCATTATCTAAGTAATGGATACAGCATTGAACATAGTGGAAGGTGGAATAGAATAGGATTAATGTAGCCCACCCCCAATAGTTGGGACAAGGCTTAGTTGAGTGACTCCCAATTCCATCAAGAACTACAATCACTTGTGGGTTCTATCTATCTGCCTGTCTATTGCATAAACTACCCTTTATTCAAGCATGATGTGTCTATACATCACATTTCTTCCTTACCTTTGAAGCCAAAGATTTCTTTGGGATAAGCATCCATAAAAAGGGGGTTGGAGTCAATTTGTCTCAGTTTAGATGAGTGGGTTAGTTGAGGGGGATCCCTAGATGTCAGAGAGGAAGTTGACATAGAGCAACACATACTCAAAATCATGATTCATGAAATTGGCTTTATTATGAGAAGAAAACAACAAGTTTAAGACCCTCAGACTATTCAAATCCGAATTCTGGTCATTCAGATTTAGTCAATCCAAATAAAAAAACAAAGGGTGCTGAATTTTTGGATACATAATCAGAGTATTATTGGCATTACAGAAATAATGTATTTATCAACCAATAGAACATAGATTTTTTCCTTTACGCAAACCAAAATCTATTCAGGCTCAGCTCAATTAAATAATAAAGAAGGTAGATTTTGATTTTGTTTCTTTCTGGGCTCTCCATAAACAATTGAAAGGTCCAAGCTTAGGCCTCTTCTACTTGCATTATAAGGTTAATGTATTCTTTATATTTTAATGTTTTACTCCAACACCTACTAACAGATGCATAGAAAATCAAAAGAGCAAGTAGAGAAACTAGAGATATAATTTCACTAGGTCCAAAGTTCTTCATTATAAAGTGCATATTCCAAATGTCTCAGTTGCCCTAAACCTTTTGATTTATTAGGGCATTGGAGTTACTAATTCAGATACATTATTTTGGAGCCAACTTTGAAATTATTTGTACATGATCAACCACTAGTGTAGTCAGGACAAGCCCACCCCAGCTTAGACGTAACAATGGAAACAAAATAATTTTTCTTCATTAGATTGTTTAATTAAGTCAATTGCTCTAAGTCTAACTATGTTTTTCTTGGCAGACTTATCTATAAATTTGGGGCTCTTTGCAGTTACGTGTATAAACATGTATTATATTATTTAAATACATTTATATATGTGTGCTTTATGTTGGGTTTAATTTATATTTTTATTTTAGTTTTTAATTTTTACTTATAAAAATGCTAAAAATTGAGATTTGAGGCAAAAAAAGATTTTTTTTTGACAAAAGTAGCGGGATAAGGTGTGTTTGGTGCCTTCGAATGTATAAATATCGATAATTGTGTTATCTTGAAGATTTGTGTATACACATACCATATAAGAGTCCGAATATGCTCCTCAAATTTGAGTGCACCTCACACTAACTTTATAGCATGTCCTGGCCATACATCCGGAATATCTCCTACAGGGCAGGATGTAACTGTAAGATTGGTGTGAGGCGCACACTGTGAGGAGCAATTCAACATATATAACATGAATTAGTAACAAAGTCGAATGGATCAACAGTTAAACCACTTAGTTCAGATGGGTTTTGATCAGAGTTTAAATATTTTGGTCAAATTCCAGATTTTAAGAAAATCGGACCTAGAATTGTAACTCATGTGACGATTGACCGCCCAGAGGTTGAAAGCACTGCATCATTATTGGTATGAGAATCCAATGGTGGAATGAATGAGAGCTGGTAGGTAAAATCCATCAAAGGATGGTAGACCCTGGATAGTGGATACATATCAGCCACTATTTCCAATTTTCTTTTTTTTTTTTGTGTGTGTGATTTATTTATCAAGGGTAAAGGTCATAAAGGGTTGACTGGCAAAACAGTATCTGGGGACTCTGATCTGACGGGCTTGTTTGTCTTATGGCGAGAATAGAAATGAAATCAACGAATAAATTAAGTAATAAATGAAATTTTAAGCATTTTATTATTGGGAAGTTGGTAAAAGCAATGGGTCCAGCAGTAATCTTCAGTTAGAGGGGGGAGAAGAATCGCATTGCCCTCACGTTTGATGCTCTGATGTTGTAGTTGTTGCTGTTCTTCTTCAACTCTCACTGTTGTTTGTTGTTTCTATTTGCAGAGATAAGACAAGCTTTCTATTTCTGGCGATTTTCTTTTGGCAGATTCATTCGATTGAAGCTTGAGAAGCTCGATCCGAGTCTCTTGGGCTTCTTTTCTCCCACTTTCTGCTCCTGGGTTCGACCAAAAGTTGCATGAGATAATTTATAGATGAAGTCCTCGTTCTGAGATGGAGCCGTCTCAGACTTCTTCGAATGCTGAAAGAGGCGTTCGAATTCAAGCTCCATTGGTAAGTTCTATCTTTTTATATGAGGTCCTTCGACTTTTATTTTTTTCAATCCATGTGCTTTTTGTATACCCAGATCGAATTATCGATGAATTTCCCGTGTTTGATTGAAGCTCTGGAATCTGATGAACGCGCGTTGTCCCTTGTTGGTTTTACTTGATTAGAACTAAATTTCTACTTGATTGAAACTAAGTTTTTTTTTTTTTTCGTGGTTTTGAGTTCAATCATGGAGATAAAGTAGCATTGCTGCATTTCGCTGTGGTAGCCTTGTAACTTCGGATTTAGAGAATAGGGTATGTGATCTAGTTCAAGTTCAGAGATGGGTAAGTTGAATATTAGATCTGTTGGTTCCTGAATATTCAAGTCTCTAGCTCTGGAGAAGAAATAAAGCGGCCATCTCATTTAATTGTGGAATGATGGGGCTAGTGTGGGGGTAGATCATTTCAACTTTCGTTTTGCTCAGAGGCCACTACGTTTTAAATTCTTTATTTTATTAGGTAGGAGATCGGTTTTTAGGTAAAGGTTCGATCTTCCAAAGTGTTTTAATCACAAGGAGAGTGCTAACCAGCTTGGAGAATTGTTATCCTGCTCTTGTGCTTTTGACATAGATCTTCTTTATACGTTTCTAGCCGCTTCTTGTCTTATCCTTTTGTACATTGGGTTTTAGAGTTCCATTCACATGAGTTTGTTTCTTGGTACGAACCTTGGAGTGTTTAGTCAAGTAATTTCATGCATCGAATTTTTACCTTTCTAAAAAAAAAACAAGAAAGAAAGAAAGAAACATGTATCTTTATTGAGAGAAGCCTCTAGTTGTCATCCCTCGGATTTTTCAGAGGTTCTTGTAACAATTTAGTATTAACAATCAGATTCCAATTTCTGGTTGAGGATGAAAAGCAACTACTCTACTAGTTCTCGTTGTTTACCACTTTTGTCTCTTGTTTCCCTTCATCTTTGTTCTATCTCTTGTTCTTAGTTTCTTGGAGAATGTAAATACTTTAACTATCTAACATAGCATTTTTATTTTTAATTTTTTTATATACTTTCACATTTATACAGTTTGCTATCTTTTCCGTATGGTTTTCACCATCTAGGGTCATCGTCCAATGTTACTCTCAGCCATTTGGGGTCTTGGGAAGGGTGGATTGGATATGTACCTAACCTTTTTGCATTTTCTCACATGAAGCGACCACTCTTAGACTCAAACCTATACTCTCACAGTCGTAACCCAATTACACCAAGATGGCCCCTAGCCCTTTATGATCTAATAAATATATTGTTTATTTTAAATTATTTAGTTGAAGTTAGCTACTAAATTCACTTGATAAGGAAATCAGGTCATTGAATCTGATTAATCCTTCATTTTGCACTGGGTGTAACCTAGTTTGGTCAATCCCCAGTTTATACTACTCGTTGTACAGCTTTCAGCCACAAATGTCACTGTAACCTGTGAAGTTGAGATATTTTTCTTTGTTAATTCTTCTTATAATTGACTGATCCAAAAAAAAATTTCTTCTTATAATTGACATGGAGTTTGGACAAGAAGTTGATGGAATTGCTATTACCTTTTTTGACTAATTTAGAATAACTATTTTATTTTTTTTATTTTATTTTCTGTTGATGCCATAAAAAGGGCTATGCCAAAAAGTAACTAGTTGTTTCATTGATGATAGTGCCTCAACTAGCAAAATGGAAAACAGTTTTGAAGTTCTTGAAGGCAGTTAAAAGGCCCATAAAGCAGTAAAACCTTGACTCTATACAACCACCTGAATAGGATCCTTCTTGTCACTGGAAACCCAACCTTTCCTATATTTCAAGTAACAGTTAGGCATGCAAAACTTGCACAGAAAACAAAATATAGCTGTACTAACACAATGTTTCATTGAAGGCTGATGTCTCTAACTGCAAACTGCTATTGACATTTAGGCTGATGACCATCTGCATAAAATTAATTTTATGTTACTTGTAATGCTTAGTTCTTATACTTGCATGCTTCTTAGAGTCCACATAAATCTATTTATCTAATGCATTTGATGGGCTTTCTAGAATTTTGGGTAATGCTATACATGAGATTGTATTCATAACTTGTTTCAAATACTACATATCAAGTTTCATAAACTTGAAACTTGAAAGAAATTCTTTATTTCAATCATCTTTAAAGAGTTTTTCAAAAGCTATTTGCATTTTTTGTCAATGGTCCCATAATATTGGTGTTAGCAAAAGTGATGCCTTTTGAATTTTGGCTAGAAAAAGTTGATTGTAAACCATACATTTTTCTTCTGGCTAAGCCATGTCTTTAGGAGCATGTTGTTGATTTTGAACCAAAATTTTCCATAAAATTTGACTGCAATTCAGACCTTTATTGCCTTTTCACCTTCTATTGATCAACTCACCATTTGGTGGACATAAAAATTTTGTTTCTCCATGGTGATCTTCATGTAGATGTCACATCACACCCTATGGTTGCTTAAAAATGTACATATAACTATTTCAATGTCAATCATGTCCGCATAAGGCTCACCATTTCAACAAACTTTGCTTTGGGAATCTCATAAATTTTAAGGCATCAATAATGGTAGCCCTGCTCTCTATTCCACTTGTAGACTGTATGCAATCCTTTATAAATTGTTGTTGTTGATAATCCGAAAAAAAAAGGTTTCTGCTTCTACTCCTGTTGTTTTTGTTGTTGGTGGTGGTGCTCCTGCTGTTTTTGTGGATTATTATTATTTCATTTTTTTGGTAGATAATTGTTATTATTTCATTACACCTAAATCTTCTATCTGCACCCTAACATGAAATTGTTTAATACAGGTAGGATCTGTATCATGCTACTGCAGGGTAGATGCAGGCTTAAAAACTGTTGTTGGGGCAAGGAAATTTGTTCCAGGATCAAAGCTTTGCATACAACCTGATATCAACCCTCATGCACACAAGAGTAAAAACTCCCGCAGGGAGAGGACCAGGATCCAGCCCCCCCTTATACCCGGCCTTCCTGATGATCTTGCCATTGCTTGCCTTATCCGGGTTCCTAGGTTTGAGCATAGAAAGCTCCGACTAGTCTGCAAGAGATGGTATCGGCTTCTTGCTGGTAATTTCTTTTACTCACTAAGAAAGAATCTGGGAATGGCAGAGGAATGGATCTATGTCATCAAAAGAGATCGTGATGGAAGGATCTCATGGCATGCTTTTGACCCTATCTATCAGCTCTGGCAGCCACTTCCTCCTGTTCCTGTTGAGTATTCTGCAGCCCTTGGGTTTGGTTGTGCTGTTTTAAGTGGTTGCCACCTCTATTTATTTGGGGGCAAAGATCCACTCAGAGGATCCATGAGACGGGTCATCTTCTACAGTGCCAGGACAAATAAATGGCACCGTGCACCAGATATGTTGCGGAAACGCCATTTCTTCGGTTCTTGTGTAATTAATAACTGCCTCTATGTGGCTGGTGGTGAGTGCGAAGGGATCCAAAGGACTCTTAGATCAGCTGAGGTTTACGATCCCAACAAGAACAGATGGAGTTTTATTGCAGACATGAGCACAGCCATGGTGCCCTTCATTGGAGTTGTTTATAATGGAAAGTGGTTCCTGAAAGGGCTTGGGTCGCATCGTCAGGTGATGAGTGAAGCCTATATCCCCGAAACCAACAGCTGGACCCCAATTCATGATGGAATGGTTTCAGGATGGCGTAACCCCAGTATCTCTCTGAACGGGAAGCTCTATGCCTTGGATTGTAAGGATGGGTGCAAACTGAGAGTCTACGATGAAGCCTCAGATTCATGGAACAAGTTTATGGACAGCAAACTCCACCTGGGGAGCTCACAGGCCCTGGAAGCTGCAGCAATCGTTCCCCTCAATGGAAAGCTTTGCATCATTCGTAACAATATGAGTATCAGTATGGTTAATGTTTCTAGCACAGATAAAAATGTGGAGAGTAACCCTCATCTTTGGGAGACTATTGGATCAAAAGGTCACTTTAGGACCCTAGTCACAAACATATTGTCCAGCATTGCAGGTCGAGGTGGTTTAAAGAGTCACATTGTGCACTGTCAAGTACTCCAGGCATAATTGCAGAGGGTTTTTAAAGATTCCAAACTTGTGTCCGCCCAACTCAGAAGTACCTGCGGATCCATTTGTCTTGATGAGTTTCTGACAAGCAAGGAATGTCTTCATTGGTTGGGTTGGGTTCTCAGTCTCCTCAATGGAGCAGCATGCTGTCTTTGTTCTTCACATGTGCTTTCTGCTGGTTCAATCAACAGTCATCTGAAGGATGACAGTGGGAAAAGACATACTCAGTTTAACATCATGTTAATTGACCAGTTTATGTGCAAGTTCAGAAGGCAAACAGTGAATGCAGCGGCTGGATGTAAAAAGCAGAAGTGGACACACTGGTATGGAGGAATCTTGATTTTATACACCAATTTGCGTGTTCCAAACTGGAAGTTTGGAGTAGTATCGACTTTAAGTTTGTAAACAGGAACTGTTGAAAAAACCAAGTTTAGCAGACTTGGTCGCGGGGTTGTAGAAGCCATTTTGAACATCTAGGAGGAGAGAGAGTATTACAGCAAGCAAGGCCTTTGCACCTTGTTTAGTCTTGTCAGGTAGCTTTGCTCTGTGCGTGTGTGTATGTTTTCTGTCGTCAATTATTCCATGAAAAGAGAAAAATATGTAGTCCTAGTCCCTAGAGCTGATTTGTGAATATGTATGGAATCACTGTGTCAAATCACCACACTGTTGTTGTTTGAAATGTATAGTTCCCTTTCGTTTCCAGTCTTGACAGATGTGGAGGACACAGCCCTGGTTCTTTGGCTTTTCGTGCTTCTGTATTGTTTCTTGAGGTAAGATCTACAATTGTTTTCTTTGTTGATGATGGTGGTGGTGGTGGTGTTTAGACCTGTTCATGGGCCGGGTAGTCCGATGGGCCAGCCCGACCCCCAGACGGGCTTGGGCAATGCATAGCTGAAACGTGCTATGCACAGATGCAAAGCTGCCACGTGGTATTGAGTTGGCGGGCAGAATGATAAATTTATCCCATATCGGAGTACGTGGTTTATACAAGCTTACAAGTTACAACACACTGAGGCTGCCATGTGCGCATAACGTGTCCATCATAAGATGAACTGAAAGATTGGGTTACTGGTCCTATAAATAGGCGAGCACCTTGTAAGTAAAGCTCTCTTTCTCTCTCTCTCATTTGAATTGGTGTTTTCTCCTCATTGAACAGTCCTCACACACACACACCTCACAGTCACATCCCACTGTGTATTGGGAACATCTCCCATGAATAATAATATATAAGTAGGAGAGCTGTGAGGAGCAGATCCGGACTCCTCTCATTCTCCATTCCTAACTCTCCCCACATCTCAGCACACCTTCTCATCCTTGTTTCTAGTTCAACTGACTTGAGCGTTGAAGGTCCACCTTGGAGCAGCACTCTAGGGCTTTGGATGTCTTTTGTGATTGCGAATCGCTAAGCCGAGGACTGCACTAGTATTCATTCCTATTCCGAATATTTTCAGTATTTATCCTTGCTGCAGATTTTGGCAACAACAGTTTCTGCTAAATAATAGGCCTGTTGGATCTTGGATGGATCTCAAGTTAACCTAACAAGCAGACTACTAGTGCGATGGCTGTTTGTACCTCTCCTAGAGTGGGGTTTCCTTGGCCCGAAACACTAAGAAGGTATACTTTTCCTTTTGTTTGGACTGCCCACCAGAGTAAAATCAGCCTTGTCCAATCCTGCATTCTGCAGCAAAAACGGTCCTTGCAGTGCCCGGTAAACAAAGCGTTGACTGCTTGTTTTATTTGGAGTATGTTAGGGAAACCAAAAAAAAAAAAAAGAAATACTTGCAGCAAGAGCAATAAGGTGCTTTGTCTAATAAAACATCTCTGGATTTGGATTTCATGTATGCTTCAATCAATTAGGGTGTAAGTGGCTGAAGTCTTTATCTTCTGTTGAAGGTTGCTTTATTTCAGATTCCGCTTCAAAAAAGCTGAAAATGCTTCTGTCCTGGTTACAGAGCTGAAAATTCCAGTTATTATATTCTGTATGAGAATGAATCAACGTATTTTGCCAGCAATATTGAGGTCATATCCAAATACTCTATTTGATGTGTGTGTGAGAGTGAGAGAGAAAGGGAGGATGCACATTGAAGAAAAGCCTCTTTACTCTTCAAAAAGCTGAAAATGCTTAATGTCCTTGGTTAACCAGTACTGGAAGTTCCAGTAATTATACTCTGCTCTGAACATCAAGTAATGCATCATCTTTGCTGGATCTCTGAGACAGCAAGTCTGGATAGTATATGTATCTATCTCAACACATTTTCTCTGGAGTTCCACTTAAAAAAAAAAAAAAAAATTCCTCTGGTGGCAATGCGTATCATTGCCAAGGGAGTGTTTTTTTTTTTTTTTAAGCCTTTTTTGTGATTTAGTCATTTAGAGGACCATCGCTGGCAATGCGTATCATTGCCACGTGTCAACTCTGCTCGGGCCACAGACAACTTTGCATCCCTAATTCCTAAAAACAAAAAAAACACTTTGCATCCTTATAAAGTAGAAGATGCCAATGAGTGTCGGTCCAAAAATTCCAAATCGTTGGGAATCCAAAGTACAAAAGACACTAGTGAGAAACAGCAATTTTCATATTTAGAGTTGTTAAATGGACATCATAGTCTGGATCAACTGCCAACAAAATACATGGCGGGTCCCAGTTCCATGTCCGATCATGTTGAAAGAGTGTTGGAACGTATTTTGTTGGAAAACCTTGGGCTGTCAAGTGGGATAAGGCTGTTTTGACTTAGTCTGAGGTTGGTTACTTTGTGCACAAAAATGGCAGTGTAGGCCAGTATCAGTCCACAACTCCCAAGACCCCCTCATAGCTGGGACTAACATTGGATAGTGACCTTTTTTTTTTAACTAAAAATTACCCACTCGAATTTCAAATTTCTAATATCATGTACACTATTAATCATTCATTATGATTCCATTACATATAAGTGGTCATATATAAACGAAAATGTCAAAGATATCTAATCTTGTACATAGCCAAGTAGTTTAACTTTAACCTGCCTTGAAATATTACATTTCTTCTTCCTCTTGAGCAATGACCTTCTCTAATGCTGTTTGTAACAGCTTGAAAGCAAATTCGGTGTTGTGTATAGGATACTTCCAAATAGGAGCCTCGCTTATATCTGATACTTGTTATTTTTTTTTTATCTAAAATACAAATTGTTGTACCCCGGTTGTATCCTTGTTCCTGGATCTCCGCCAAGAAAACCAATAGGGCCTTTTTCAATATTATGCCAAGAGGGGCTCCAACAGAGGTTTTGAATCGGGTGTATGAAGGTTCATGGTGTATGTGACTACCAGTCCAAGAAGCGCGCAAGATGCAGGGACCAAGCCCAATCCATACCTTGTAACAGAAAAGCAGCCCATGATTGAATGGCAACCCTTCAGAATTGAGGCAGTATCTGCATAAAAAGGGTAGGATGGTAAGTAGAAATTTCAAGCCACATATCTGTCAATCCTTTTGTTGAAACATCACGGTGGAATGAAGAATGTAACCGACTCCATATTGTTGTGACAAGGCTTTGTTGGCATTGTTGAATTGAGTTTCAATCACAGTAAAAGGGTACTTAAAACTGCTATTGGCTGGTAGAGTGGTAGATATACTGTTGTTTACATCATTACTTGCTGTATGAAAAAACAAACCCAAATTCTGTGCTTTACACTCCCAGCTTCTTATTCCTATCCTCTTTCAGATGATAGGCTACAATCTATTTGGGGGATGGAAGTGAAAATGCAGAGTGGAGGTAGATCCAAAATGGATTTAGCCCCTGAGGCAAAAAATCTGCTGCCTTTGGATTGCACTCCATTAATTTTTAAAGAGTAAAAACATTGATATTTCATATTTGGGAATGGGTGGCTCTCAAATCCTTTCCAACCCTCTATTAACTTTTTTTTTTTTTTTATGTGTTAGGAATTATATATAACGTGCAAATTATGGAGACAAAGTCTAAATCCTCTGTGATGTGATGCAATGCTAGAATGAGTGTAATCATCATGTACCCAAAGTTGTTAAATTTAGGTTCTCAGGATCATGGAAAAATTCATGAGAAATTATAAAATAGCACAAACTTTTGGATTCATCATCATCATCATCATCGATGACAACTATTTTCTTTTCTTCTTTTCTAAACCTGTCAACATGATGTATTTCTATGACTGTTATAACACATTTAGAGTATAATACCAATTTTTTTTTTTAATCTTAGTATGGTATGCACACATCTTATTAATTATATGTAAGTATATAATATATGTACTATATACGTATTTACTAACATTGGGGGATCATGAGAAGAGTCATATGGAGGAAGATGATATGATCCTAACAGGTTCCTTTTGAGATCATTTGGAAAAGTGCTAGAAAACCCCTCTGAGGCTAGGATCTATGTGCAAATGATGGACTGAATGTTGCCACTTGCAGTCTCAACATAAAGTTCTTATTTTCTTTTTCTTTCTTTCCGCATGTCCCACACCACTTTATCAATAATAGAGGTCAAATCTCCTGTCCACCAGAACTCTGCCCACGCCTACCCACAATACACCATCCCCATGAATTGGAAACATCTCCCCCTGCATAATACTATACAGATGATGAGGTATTCTCCATATGTGACTGCGATAAACATGGACAAAATTCTTGTGGGGAGAAGATCCGGACTCAAATTATGTTGCCCCTAGTACCAAGACTTGGACTTTTGTATTGACAAAAATATATTTTAGATGTCCTTTGGGGCCACCAACTCCTGCAACATCTCCCCAAATACTGATGCTTAAGATTTACTTGAGCTGTACTCAACCCAAAAGGCATTAGTCCAACTATTTGGGGCCAAAAATTGATGTTAAGATATAAAAACCAAGAGACTAATGTAGTGTAAAAGTTTCTGTTTGGAATCTGCAAGAATCTGGGTGAATGAAATCACTCGGTTTGCTCAAGATTTGCTTGATTGGTGTAGATTTGTTTGAACATGCTGACAATAGACTTTTCTATTTCTTTTTACGAAAATGAAAAGTAGTTACTTTTTAATCCAAATACTTTTACTTGGACTCTATTTTTTATCCATTGTAAACCCAATAGTAAGAAAAAATTGGGAAGGAGAACCACATTGAGCACTGATTCATCTATATGTAATTTTTTGAAGGGCAAATTTCTTAAACTACCCCTATTGTTTAGCTAATTATCAAGTTATACCCTTACTGTTTATAAATTGTCTTGGAACACCTTTATTGTTTTTGACAATTGTCACTACCATTAAATCATAACGATTTTATTGAAATTTTGTTTATGCCCTTTTGTTAAGTTGGACCAGAATTTGCTCGAAAAGAAAATTAATGTATTAACCCTCAATGGTTAACGATTAGGCGAGTGGGCAATCCTATTAGCTTCATTCATGAATGCTAAACCCTTCGTTGTTCGTTCCAAGCACTCCATTACCGCTGCAACTTTCAGCCAGTGACTGTAAACTTTTGTCTATAGGTAAGATAGAATAAAACGATGTTTAACATGACATATACGATTTTTATGGTTTTTAAACCTCAAACCTGTAGAAGAAAAGTCGTTGTTTTTAAACCCTAACCCTTTTATCTTACATGGTTGTCTTACTATCAATATTTTGTGTTGAGTTCAGATTTTTAGACATTTTACTGTGAAAGTTATGCTTCTGGGGACCATTTACAGAGATTTGAGGTCCAAAGTCAATCTTGGTCAAGGATTTACAGAGATGGGAGGTTCAATAGTGCCTTGAATGGTTGTGTCATGTTAGGGACCCATGTGGGCGTGTTATGTGTCGTGTTAGGGACCCATGTGGGCATGCAAGCGGGCGAGGCAAGTGGGCGAGGCAAGCGGGCTGTAGGGGTGGGCATGCAAGATGGCAAGGCGGGTGGGCGGGGGGCTGGGTGTGCAAGCAGGCGAGGCGGAAGGGCTAGGGGCTAGCCGTGTGAGTATGCGAACAGGTAGAGGGCTGGGTGTGTGAAGGGAGATTTTTAGGAATTTCTTCAAACAAATGGCATAAAAAATCTGTATTTTTTCACAATTGTTGTGAAATGCTCCATTCACAATGAAATGATGCGTTTACATCATCCCTAAGGCTGTGGTTGGAATCAATGCAAAATGTCATCGGTATAAAAATACACCAATAACGTTTTACACTGAACCGTGAAAGTGACTGTTGCTTTTTGAAAAATGCAATGGGTGGAAGAGTGTACAGTTTTACATCGATAAAATCGATGTAGTTTTTACATCGATTATCGATGTAAAACTTTATGCTTGATGAGGTTTTACATTGATTAGTGACGTAAAACTCCAATCCATCCAAACGCACACAAAAGTGAACTAGAGTGGAGTTTTATGTTGATCATAATTACGTACTCCTTCCAAACGCCTACATTGCTTCCAAATGCAGCCTAAGCTTCCACCACTGCATCACTCTTTCATCTGTTGATGGTTTTATCTACTCACAGTCGGTTGACAGAGCTCGCCTTCCACCAGATCAGTTGTACTTGAAGCTATGCCGGTTATTACCAATGACACCAGAACCGTCTCGTGGCTGTAATATAACACTGGTGATGATTGTGACTCCAAACAAACTGAAGACGATACCTTGCTCCACTCATAGAGAATGATCATATTACCCAAACAAACCGAAGACAATACCTTCGTCATTGTCGTGTTGATATCTGTGGGATGCAGTGGCTCAAAGAGGATGATCGTGACCAAAGCGAAATGGGTCAAACCAAAAAGGTGCATTTTAGACTAGTGAAGGGTAATCCAGGAATTTTTTGACAATATACCCATCACATGATGTCACATGTCAACGGCCCATGACGGGGAAGTTTGTGACAATTGTCAGAAACAATAAGGATGCCCCAAGACAATTTATAAACAGTAAGGGCACATCTTGACAATTAGCTAAAGAGTAGGGGTAGTTTAAGAAATTTGCCCTTTTTTTGAAATATATTTGTTGAGAAAAGAGAGACTTGACAGATTACTCACCTTGATTGGATTCAAGAATGTACAAAGCAAGCCCGCATGAGATTTTGTCCAAGAAGCTCAATGACCCATAAACAAATGCACAACCATTTAAATCTTCTCCAACTAAAACACTTTGCATGCTCACTCCTGTCACCTGTATAATCCAATAAAAGTTAGTAGAAGATTTAAAGATGAAAGGTCAAATATTGCAGAAAAATCATGAAATTCAAGAGAGAACAAGTACTATTTTGATTATGTGGTTTTTTATGTCCAGAAAACATGTTAACCTTAGTAGTACTAAAATAACTTGGCTATCTCAAGATCACTAACTGGCTCCTTTTCCATTATACCAATGGCTTGTTCCAGATTTGCTCCTTTAAATTATAGTCTAGTTGGATACAACTAGTCACTTGATTATGGTAATGCATATGATATGGCTGCTGTAATCTGGGGTCTGGAGTCACAATGTGACTGGTTTCCACCTTCAAGATCACCCAAACTAAAACCTGGTACATATGATGATTCTAACCATGATCTATTTGTAGACTGTTTCTGGTTGTTGACCATTTCTTTTCCTAACCATTCCATTACAAATGCACCAGTTCCCATATATTATTCTTTGCCATTTGGATCTACAAATTGATTTCTGGATGTGATCCCCTGGTAATAAGTGAAATGAAAGTCATCATTTAAGATAGCTGTGCTAAGCAATCAAAATAAACAAGAAGAGAATAAGTGCATTTTTGGTATTCTTTGCAAGTGATGTCAGATCCAGAATATAGTGGTCTGATCTGTATCTACTAACATTACATAGCACAAGGATAACACTAGAGAGCCTTTTGGGCTCAGATGTAATTTTATTGTTTCTCCTTTTTCTTTTCTTGGGGGCTCAAGTTGTAATTGGAAGATAAGAAAGTTTGTCTTCCTTTTTGTAATTATTCTTATGTCGAATTAATGAAATTATCATTTATAAAAAAAATAACACTAGAGAGCCTTGGAATTACCAACATACCGTCATTAATGCATTGGCAACACCAATAGCCACTGATAAAAGGTACATAAGATTTTGCATGGTACTGGGAAGAAAAAGGATCCCCGCACCAGAAAATATCCAAAGAACACCTCCAGCAGTAAAGAAGGCCTTGAGACGTTGGCCAGTCCAAGTAATCTCCTGCAATGTGGACATATAATGGTTTAGTATCAAAAAAGAAAATGATGAACTAAAAAGGTATGCATTCTGCTACCAATGAATTCTAAAAATACATTCAATTAGACCATTGATAATTGAGTAACCTGTAAAATGACAGATACCACAATGCTGCATATGTAGATGATAGCAGGTACCTGTCCACATTAGTTAGAAATCAAAATCATCCCACCAATGTGTCCAAATGAAACAGATATGAAATGAATGTGATGAGATCTCATAAGGTTTTTGCATTTACCAATGCCTTAGATGATTGAGCCATTTGCAGATCATTAATGACGTAAAATGCAAGGAATGCCTGGTCAAAGAAACAGTTTTAATGTGAAAACAACAAGGCTGCAAAAACAATTCTTGCAAATATTATCCATAAAGAATCTTGAAGACCTCTTTTAATAATTATTATAGTAATTTGAGAGAAACACCATTAAGAACTGAAAGAAAATTTCACCATGGCCATATCAGAAGATTCATTTCAAACAAAGGAAAGAAAAAACAGTTGTGACCTGTGAAACATTCGTTACTAGTCGAGTGAGTACATAAACAATAGCAACTTGATAGTATAATACTTTCTTGAACCAATGTGCCCATGATATTCTATGGTTACTTGTTCCGTGTATTCCTTGCTTCAATCTTCACATGAAATGAAAGGTAATTGTTTGGTCAAATATTATTAGAATGTGAAACTATTTGAAGAAATGACATGGATTAATAGCTTATGTAGGAGAATTTAAAAACATAAAAAATAATAATAGCCAACACACCTTGGCTCTTTGGTTCCAATAAGGAATATGCTCACGAAACAGCATCCAATGAAAATTGACAAATATGCAATCCAGCGGTACTGTTCATTTAAAGGGAATTTAAAAGTCAAACCAAAGAGAAGATGCATGAGAATTATCAATAAACTTTCATGAGCCCTGTTAAATTCCTATCCTTGCTGGAGGTGTTCATTATAAAGTGAATAATCTTATTTAATCAAGATACCTGATTTTCAATATCAATAGGTGTTCTTGGTTTGCTAACATTAAACACTGTCAGAGCAACTGCATATAGGCTGAGGTTGGCCACCTTAAACAATTAGAACAAAAAATAAAAGATCATAACCTTCACAATAATGTGAACAGATATAACAGTGACTGAGACAAAATGTCAAGAAAGACACTAACCATTGTAAAGGCATTACGACAACTAGCTAGCACAACTCTGGTTGTTGGATTCAGTGTGATGCAATTCACCATAGACCTTCAACATAGGCCCATTTTCCATAAGTTTTTCTTGGGAAAAAGAAGATGACTAAAGGAAATAAAAGATGATGAAATCACATAAACTTGAAAATTCAAGCCAGGAAAGGTTGTTACATGTGTGAAACTTGGGTAGCCGCCCAACCCACATTGAAAATTGCAGCAAAAGTACTATAACTAATTGTCAGAATTGCAGATGAATTTGTCCTAAAGATTTTACATGGAAGGCAAATGCCAAAAACAGAAGAGAAAGAAACTGCAACCAGAACTGATCCAGCACCATGCCATATTTTGAAATGTCCAAACCTGTCGATCTAGTATGCAAAACAAAGGAAGACATTTATTTTCAGCATATACTTTTAATACAAACATAGCAATTCTAATGCACCAAATATTTATTTTAAGTAGCTATTGAAAGTGAAATTTACAATAAGATACATCCATCTTTTCTTTATGAAAAAGAATGGGCTTGACTGTAAGCCTGTGAAATCCAATTACTTAAGGTCCATTTAAAACTCAATTAAGTGGGTTGGGACCATGTCTGTGAAAGAAAGCTAATGGGCCACCTAAAATATCTATTTAGGCCACTAAAGTAGTGTCCACACTTGGATCTCCCTCTCTTTAAGTGGAATCCAGGTATCATTTACTTATAGAGGGGTGCTTACATAACCACTGCAATCCCTATTTAATCTCCTTAAAGTGAGTCATGAAAGGATATTAAACCTTTTGAAATAAAACTAGATTTCAGATAGAAATAAAAAGATTAAAAAAAAACATAGACAGAATAGATGCAGTGGAAAATACCAGCTCTCCAGCAAATATTGTTGTAAATCCATCAGCAATTTGACCAGAAAGCATAACGGTAGCTGTATTTCTGCACATGAAAGTGACCAACAGAAGGATTATAATGAATTTCCATGTAAGGACTATAAATAGTGCTAAGAATTCCATATAATAGTTCAAAGGATGTCTGTTAGGAGACCTCTGGAAGTGTATATCAAGGACAAACGGAAACATGGTTCTTGAGGATTTATAGGGTTTCAATAAGTATGGCATTCAGTTGCCAGGAATAAGTATTGGAGTCAATTGAGATGATGGGTTTCTGGAGCCAACCATGCCAACCTAAAAATATCAATAGATATCTATTAGCATTATCCTTCTTACTGATTTCTAAACACTAGGTCAGAGAAAGTACAAAGCTCAGATTGGCCTCAATCTTGTATCTCCAATCTCAATTTCCCTTGTTTATACCCAATTTCTGGTACAGAGATGAAAAATGAAAAACTATTGCTTCTTTTTTGAAAGGTAATTAAGAGCTTCTTGCACTTCTATTTCTCCTTAAGCAACATTTTCGTGTTCACTGAGGTTCCTGACTTAACTTGGTCCTTTGAAACCAAAAGTCTTTTCCAAGCATTCTTCTTGGTTACAGGTGATTGTCTTGAAGGCAGTGCATGAAAAGATTTATGCCTTCATCTTTCTTCTATAGAGGCATACATCTTCAAAGTTCAGCCAGCATGCTTGTATACTATGCTTGGATCATTTCATCATTCATTGTGTGTTTAGCTCTTTTGGAGGTCCTTGAATTAATTCACAGTTCTATGCTTACACAGAGATTGTGTTATTTCTTGTTAAGCAAAAAAAAAAAAAGGCAAAACTCTCTAAGGATACTTGCTTATTATCATCCTCTGGGTGTTATTTCTTGTTAAGCAAAAAAAGGCAAAACTCTCTAAGAATACTTGCTTGTTATCATCCTCTGGGACATTCAAGAGGAGAGGAATCCGAAGATATTTCACTATATACCTTCTGTTGCCCTTAAAATTATCTTCTTGTTTATGCCCCTTGGTGTATATTGTGGAATTTTCAACTGTGATGGTTGATAAGATTTCTAGATATTATCCTGGTACTGCTAGGTCCTGCCTCTCCTTTTTTATGGGTCATTCTTGGTCCCCTAAAAAACCAAAAAGTTCTAGACTCAATTTTGATGGGTCATCTTCAGTATCTGAAAAAGGAGGCCAGTTTTTAAAATTCAAATTGTACTTATAATACTCCCTCCCATTGCTATTATCATCCGATTTGTTATTTTATATTGCCCTTTGAACTTTGAAAAATCTAACAATAACATGCATTTTTTTAATCAATGAGAAGCCCTACATCATCCTTCTGTTAAGGAATTTTAGCTAAATCTGACATCTTATTCTTTTAAGGGGCTTCTAACTTCTCATGCACCTCCAACACTAAAAGAAGGAAAACTCAGTAATATGTGTTATAGGGCCCTTAGTGGCATGATAGAGTGAATCTCATGGATTTATTAGAAAACTGATTTGGGCACATGCTAATTTTCATAAATTGGACACAGCAATACATTAGGGGTGCTTTTTTCTTTCAAAATTGTGCTTTTTTACTAATAATTAGTTGTCTTCCAAAAAAATGGAATCTGCCCAAATAAGTCCCCTTTATTTTATTGGCTTTCTTTTTGTAAAGTTCCCTTTTTTAATCTGTTTTTCCCTGCCTACATGAGCAACTTTTGACATAATAACATATTTATCCAAATTGAAAACGGATATAAACCACTTCGAGTGTCTTTGCACAAACCAGGCCCAGTAAGATCTTCAAAATTTACGTAAAGAATATACTTAATTGATCAATCCATAGAAGTTGCACAGATCCTATAGGTGATTCAGGTTTCAGACATCAGACAAGCACAAGTGTTATTAAGAAAACAACATACCTTGGGGTCAGGCCAATATCTGTCAAGAACACTAAGAGATACGTAAACCAACAGGCAGATGTGATGTCATTAAGCATGTGGCCAACACCATAGTAAAACACAGATGCTCTCCCAAGGGGCTTACTCCATGATTCCTCATCACCCATACCAAAAACCATAACGATAGGATGGTTTATACTATAACTAATTATCCCTTGTCGTGGAAACTCCTGCATAGAAACAGATTGCAGTTTAAGGAAAGGTAGAACATATTCTCCATGAATCCCAAAAGACAAGCAGATAACATAATATGGAGAAGAGAAGCATTGCCACACATACAGAGAAGTTTAGAAAGCCAGTTTTCACAAAGTAAAATCATAATTTATGGATTCCAACTGAACCTGACAGAAAATTTCAGGTAATACAAACGGAAACATGAATCAATCATATCATCTTCACATGTAACTTGGGCAACTCCAGTTCAACCAATAACCCATAAAACAGAACACTTCATCGAAATTAGTCTACGCTCATGCCAACCCATATACCGAAATTGCCAAACCTGATCCACTAACAAGAAACTGTACTATGCAGAAAGAAAAAAGTAAAAAAAAGACAAGGAGAAATAGAAACAAAATGAACTAAAAGCGGAAGGAACACAAGGTGTTATATTCATTTTCAACAAACTAAGACCTTCTAATGGGCAGCGATAATTCCAGAGAAAAATAAAACTAAAATTCATTTGTTGAACACAGGTAGAAGGATATTAACCAATATAGAAAATTTTCCCAAGTATCTGAAACTGCAAAAACAACCCAAATGGAGAGAGAGAGAGAGAGAGAGAGAGAGGATACCCGCTAGGTTGCTCCCATTCTTTCTCCCTTGCTTGCAGTCTGGAGACTGAAAGATGCTCAGTGCAGGTTGTCTTTTGTACTTTTCAGAAATCAGAGCCTTCTTGGGACCTGAATGGTTACACGTTCATCAGTGAGTCATCAATAGCCGTGATAGGTGGCACTATTGGCAGTTAAGGTTGTTCGTTACGATTATCCATGCACCATCCAATCAAATGCATGCTCACCTCTATCGCTGTGCAAATTTGGGCCGTTCATCAGAGAGGAGTTACAAAAAGCTGATCGCTGACTTGCTCTGGTCTCCAGTACAGATCGATTTACCGATAGTGGGTCCCACAACTTACACTGATTCGAGTCTTTGACGGTAGATATTCTTATGGAATGTATAGTTGAGAATCATGGAGGAGGTATATATTAGAATTTCCCTTGAAAGGTAAAGTGCCTTTTCCTTTTTCGGGTCCCGCAAGTCAATAACAGAGCGGTCAAGTTCAGCTAATCCGTTCAGCTTTTGGAGCCTCCACCCACCCAATGACCCAAACAATGAGCCTCAGAGACGACGATAAAAAGTTGGTCGGGCCCCACAGCCCCAATAACCCATGGGCCAGGACGAGCCTGACAAGTGACAAGGTTGCGCCTATGGAGATAGATATTCAGAAGAGGAGTGATCCACTCATCCACCACTACTTTGAAAAGCCACTTGAGGAGGCATTAAACATCATGATTGTTGTTGCTTTCCGTCTCATGCAAGTATTGGTGCCAAGTGGCAACTGGGCTCAGCTCAGCCTCTGGCTGCTTTCAGTTGTAATGCAGTCTGCAGATGGGCCAAACCAAACAGTTAACAGGAATAGAATCATGGCTTATAATGGGAGTTTTTAGTACAGTTTCGTCTGTGTCACAACGCTTTTTTCATAGAGATGGGAACTAGAGTTTTTCATACAAATAAGTTTCCTACTGTTGTTGACGAGTAAATGGGCACAGCCACCACGGCTGTATTGATATGAGAAGACCCTGCTACAGCATGATTGTTAATATGATATTTTCTGAAGCCAACTCTTTCCTCCACTTCTTGACCAGAGTCCTTGTGAGTTGAGACATTTTTGTAAATGAATAACGAAAGAGATCAGACAACTGTTGCCTAGGATAGAGCATCCACAAGGGAATCAGCCAGCCTTTAAATCCAATTGAACTATAATCTTTAACTTAAACAACTCTACTTGCTTCAACGCCTACTTATTGTACAAAGCTTCAAATAAAACTCCTTTATCGAAACAATCACCAAAAATAGAGCCTTCTCCGTCGCCGGTGCTCTCTTTGATGTACCAAAATGCCGAGTTGGGATCTTCTGCCAACAAAACACGTCCCAACCCCTACCATGAGATTGAGACCCACCATAAAAGTGAGACCCACTGTGTATGAGATGTTCGGTGTGAGATGACACTGATAGGTTGTTGGAATGTATTTTATTGGCAGGTGATCCGGACTCTAGATGTTTCAAATGAGGGGTTTCAACTTTCAAGGTTTATTGTGTATGTAAATACCACACTCCCAGAAGCGCAAAGTAACAAAGCTCAAACCATATCTGGGTAACTGATAGACTACCAATGCTTTCGGAATGCATAAAAGGCAATAAATATGTAAAATTTTCAGCAATATATGCCATGAACTCAGCTCAAAAATCAGATCTAGCTTGTTGTTGTTGACCCAAGATATAAACGTATATATTAAAAAGGCCATTATCCAATTTTCATCCCAGCTATATATGATCTTGGAAGGGTGGACAGGATATGGTTCTAAACTTTGGAATTTTTTTTATAACACAGATCATTGCTGAAAAAGAAAAATAATTGAGAACAGGTCCTTGATCCAAGAGATCCACTTGACACTCTTCCATACACCTAGGCTACTATGGCAGAGGAATCGGGATCCGCTCCTCACACCAACCTCACAGCACATTCCACTGTGTACTGGAAACATCTCCCCATGAATAGACACATAATGTGCGGCTGGGATATGTTATGAGGTTGGTGTGAGGAGCGCTCTGTGAAGAGCAGAGCAGATCTGGGCTCGAAACTAGTTGTATTTGGACTGGCAGCATTGCTTCCACGCCATATAGACTAAGAGAATGGTGTAGTCCCTATTTTCTTCCTTTTTGTTTAGGACATGTAGGTGATAATTGATCCATCCACCCGATTGATCATTCATCGTCTTCTCAAGCATCTTTTGCATGATTTTACTTGTGGCTTCAGCTTGGCCATTAACTTCATACAGTGATGCACAATAATTGAGTTTTTGTTTTTGTTTTTCAGTACTTAAATTGGGAACTCTTAATGCCCACAGCTTATATTACTCTTAAACCATATTGTTGGTCAATGACGACCGGAAAGTTCTTCACTTCTTTGCATTCTCAAAACTCGTACAAAACCATATTACACGCTATACATTCTACACAACCGAAAGGATAAGTAATGTTACCAAAATGCATGTAATACAAGTATACAACCAAGTCAAAGATAACGCACATACCCTTACGTGAAACACCAATTGGGGCCAACCTCCTCAAGCTTTTGAAGCATCTCTTCATGGCGAGAAAGTGCCATCTTGACACGATCCATCTCGGTTAGCCGTTCCGTCCGACTCTGCACTAGAACCTCCCGCTGCCGTAGCAGTTGTTGCAGAGCGTCGTCGGTCTTCTTTATCCTTTCGTCTAAGGAAAGAATCTCCCGGGTGCCACTCTCCAAGGTGTCACTCAGCTCTTTACTACGAGCAAAGAGTGCTACTGCGCCAATGCGCTGCAGGAGGCTGTCAACCTTAAAGCCAACACTGCTCACTGAAGCGCATGTCACGTACCATCGAACGCAATCCTCCCAAGTCACAGTTTCCGGCGAGTGCTTGCTCATGCTAGAGCACACAACGCTAAGGCTGCCCAACCCAGCGCTAAGCATCGACTTGGGAAGGGATACAGCGGGCATGACACCCTCGTCAAGCAGCTGCTGTGCAAATCCTTCAAGCCAATCGGGAACTGAAAACACCTTGCCACTCTCCCGACTCCGGACACAGACATAAAATCTAGATACTGCATCAATGGGTTCGAGGCCCATCTCCTCGCTATCTTTCTGCAAAATCTCCAGTACAGCGTTTATAGACAAGGCCCCTACTGTCTCTTCCCCAAGAATGGTGGGTTCTTCTTCTTCTTCACGTATGTCAACCCCCATGTTGTCTGTAGGCGGTTGAGCTTCGTCGTCAGTTTGAACAATGGGGCTCTCATGAACTATTTCGTAGTCCATCTCTTCTTCCACTCTATTCCCCGTATCATCATCAACAACCTCCACGTACACCCTCGCTTTTGTCAACCCAGCGACGTCCAACGCACGAGTCACAGTTATCTGTCACAAGAATTCATTAGTATGCATTGCAGCAAAAGGATGATCAATGATATGCACCATATTAAATCCAATTCTAGTTCGTGAAAAGCTACCTCGGTCGACGGGCTGGTGTTGGAGACTTCGTCATCTATCAAGGGAGAAACAACCTCATCAGGAGATCTGAACTCCCTCGATGTAGTAATAATGTCAACGCCCTCATCTACCTGCTGAACCTGTTGAGGGTCTTGCGACCCGCCTTGCTCAAGAACTACATCACAACCTTCCGGGGAAGCCCACCTAACCTCTCCTCCAGAATGCCCCCCTGACGCTATTTTCTGCTCTAGGGGGGCATCCAATGCTGTGCTTTCGCGTATGTTGTCGTCCGTGTCCTCCTTACCCATCTCCTACAATACAATTCTTTGAATAGCACAACAATTTCATTTGCACATAAAGGCTTATTTAAGAATTTCACACATGTCCTACAGTCCTAGTGCTTCCACTCCGATTCTCACTCTTGGAGGTGGAAAACCTGTAGGCGGTATCTCCTGTCTTGCTCCCCTCTACTATTTATTGCCTCCCTATTTTCACACTCTTGACCAATACAAATAGAGATACTAGTAATATTGAAAGCAACAACTTCAATAGTTGAATTTAGTGTAATGGTAGATTTATTTCCTTTCAATCTAAATTATTATTTGTTAAATATATAATATTATAACATTAATAAAAAAAATTTCTATTTTCACAATTATTTTGGTTTAATATGATGAAAATTTGAAAATTGACAAAAATAAGTATGATAAATGCATATTTTTATTTATTTTCTATTTGTTTCTTAAAAATTGCTTTTTATTTATCATACTTACTTTTGTTCAATATAATAAATATATACGATTAGAGATATATCCAATTCCCACGGCTTATTTACTTACCCATGCAAGCTAAAAATTGTTAATATGTGATGAGACAATATTGCCCCTACAATAATGTCATTTTTTAGATAAATCGATCATTGTACACCTTTACTTGAAAAATAGAACATCATTTACTTATTTGAATAATCATTTCCCAAAAAATAATTGCAAGATAAGTGCATTTACGTAGGTAAGTCATTTATCAAAACAAGAACAAGGCCAATAAGACAAATATTACCCCTTCAATATTTAGAAAACCAAGCTTTACTCTTTAATGGTAAAAAATTCCCTTATTGTTCTTCAAATTTTTAAACACATGTAAAATTGAATGTTTAAGGCTTCCAACAATTGGATGTCAAACCTTGAGACCTCATTTGCAGGGTTCTTGCGATTGCAAACAATGACTTTGGGAGTTTGAGCTGAAACAGATTTTGGGGTCTTGCATTTGCAAATAATGGTTCTAGAGAAAGCCATTTAGGCCCAGTTCGCTTTTCGATAAGTTATTTACTTGGGTAAATGCAGTTATCTGGGTAAGTTTTTCCTTGGAAACACTTACCCGTATAAGTGCATTTACCCATGTTCTTTTATTTCTTATGTAAACAAGGCAATGACCATTTTAGCCATAAAAAATCCATAGTTAAAAATGACATTTTTGTCCCATTCAAGTGTTAGACAACTTTCCTCCTTCCCCCTAGGTGGGAAAGTTATTTACCTACCTAGGATATGGGTATCACTTACCTGGATAAATAATATCCAGGAAAATAAACTTTCCTTGGTCTCTACATAAATCTGAAAAAAGAACATGGGATTCTTGGTTAATGGGAACCAAAATCCCATTGACCAACTTTCCCCCCTCGAAATGCGAAAAAAGAACACCCCCTTAATGTTAACAAATCAATATATTATGGAAAATATATGGTTTATGTATTCGTATAACAAATGAATGACATATGGCACAAATGGAGTGGTCCCCATTCCATTGAGCATTTAAAGGACCTAAAAACCTATGGTAGTGGTCACTGCCGATAAAAGCTTCTAACCATCGCTAGAAGTTTATGAATTATGACCAAGGGCAAGGGTCAATGAATTGCTATTAAATATTCGTCCAAAATCTTTTAACAGTTTGGATTGCTAACGTATATCCATTTACATTGGGCATTCCAAACTTTAGGTGTGCAATTTGGGCAGGTACACGTTGGGGAATTGTTAAAATTTCAATGAGCCCAACCTGATGCAATGTAAAAATATTCAAATCAGGTACCCAACTTACAGCCCTAGTCTTGTTAGATCTATGGATTTTCTAAAAAGAAAAGGTGAAAATCCAGCCTATTTATAGGGGTGCAACTCATTATTTGTCTCCAGATTGGTTTTAAATATTCAACTCTTTTTTAGCAGTTTTTATGGGTTGTCTTGACGATTTGGATTGTCAACATATAAAAAAGTAATTTTTTATATGATTTAAATGAATTTCTTTGTAGGAAAGAATGATAAGATGGATCTATCAATGTCTATTAAACTCATTGATCTAACAAATAATTAATGTCAAAATGAAGTTTTTCTTAATTTTTAGGAAGTAAGTCAAAAAATAGAAAATTAATTCATTTTAAATGTTCTAAATGATTTTCATGGTAAGGAAGAACTAAAGATGGATCTAGCAATTATCCATCGAATCCATTGATCTAACTACAATTTAACATGTCTTGTAATGAATTTTAACAGATTGGTAACTAAAACATTGTTTGATGTATTATTAGTAAAGTTAGTGTATGACATCTAGATATTTTGGACTCCAAATTGATTGTAATGCATCTCTTCATATAAACAATTCAAGTGTGCATTTCTTATGTATTTATACCTTATTAAGAGTTATTTTAACCTTACCTCAATATTACCAACACATATGTATCTTTCTACCATATCCATGAATATCCAAAGCACATAAAATACATATCCATATCCAAGCTTACCAATACAATACAGCATATCAATATTTTGAACCTTGATTACAAGGATCCTCATATTTCATAGTGCAGAAAGGCTTTGATATTTTCAGCCACTCCACCATGAGCTTTGTTGTAGGCATATAATTCACTAGGATCTAGAATGCCACTTTCAACAGCAACCCACCTATCCTTTGCAAGCTTTTGTTGTCATTTGTACAAGGGCATATCCTGCCAGTAATAGCATATTGATTTTGTTCGATTATCAATGCTATTATTGTATGCTTTTTATTTCTGGTTTTAGCATGCCTTAACTTTGGAGAGGCTCCAGCCCCTAGGTCTGTATACCCCTCAGTGGAAGCTAGATAGAAAAGAGATCATGGCTTCCCATTGATTTGATTTTCTCCAAATAAATTCTATAAATATCACCCAAACTTCCATTTACAACTTTAGTCACTCTGCAGTTTTGACTCTGCATCATATACAGAGTCCAAAGTTTTAATTTTACAATTCAAAAACTATCCCAAACAAACACACATTTTGGCTGTACTGCAGGGGTTTTTAAGTTGAATTTTACTCCATGAATAGAGGACACAATCATGTGGACCAGTTTGGCCCCAGATGGATTGGCTACATGGAAAAATAGTATGATTACAACCGATATATGAAAAAATGGTTACCTACATGAATCCACCTTACTTTAGCCATTTGGAGGGATCTTGTGACTGATCCAGACCATCCAATCAGATAGGGGGACTCACTGGATTGGCCACATGATCAATCCAAAAGTCCATAAAAGTGAGCTCATTTTGCACATATTGCAAGTTGTTTTAGGTCGGACCTTTTACCATGAACATAGGGTGGGTAAGGAACTTGATGAAATCTTCTAAGCTCCAAACTAGTTTGTCATGTGTAAAGATTCTTGGGTTGTTTAGAGAATCTCAGTAAGGGGGTGCTCGGCAATGTGAATGGTTTGTTTTCTAAAACAAAAACAACTGCTACATCAGCAGTTGTGTGAATGGTATTGCTTTTGCTGACATTCCAATCTTTGTTTTAGAAAACAAA